TTAATTTAGAAATTAAAAAGTGTTGGGTTTATGTTTTAATGATTGAATTATATTCATTTGCACAAGTACTATTTAATGATAAATATCGAATCAAGATCATAATTCTATTCATATTTTGGCTATTAATATCTACATTCAATTTTAAAATAAAAGTTGAATTTGGATTTACCATATATTATGAAATATTTCCATTAATTTACTAATTGGAGTAAGTTCCCTCTGATATGTTTAAATTAAAGAAAATAGTTTTCAGAAATATCTCCATTTCGAAAAGTTAAATTCGCAATTGATATGATATGAAATAATAATTAACTTTAATTTTTGGTAGAAACTCTCATCAAATTTATGATAAATACCATTATATATACTTGAAAAATACATAATGTTAAATTCAACCCTTTAGAATTGCATCGCATGTTCACGGTTTGAAGAAATAGGACCTTTCCAAGTTTGACAAGTAATGCTACATTCAGTGTATGTTGATGAAAATTCATCAATCACCAAAATTTCTTTAAGAAGAAGCGCATTCATATTCTCTGCCTAATTGATTGCTAGTTTATCGATTTTTCAGGAAATTGTTCTCAATAATATTAGTATATAATATATGAGTAATGGATACCAATTGATTAAATTGTATTAATTATTGCTAATTCTTAAAGTACCCATTACTTCATCAATAATAGTGTCTTCAAGTTCTCCTTTCTTATCCATTTTATAAATGAGTTGAAAATTCCATGCTACTTACCATAATTTTATCAAGATATATCGAAAACTCTGTCTGATATTCAAAAACAATAAGGGATTTAAGTATGCTTAATTGCAATTTTGATCTCTTTAACTTGAACGATCAAGTTTTTACTAATATAAATTCTAACACTCTATTCCTCCTTGTACCTTGTTAGATAAGGAACTCATATTCTGTCATACTTCCTATCACATAATTTTCAAGTGAAAAAGTATTATTCCCTAGTTCATCAAGGGGGGCTTTCATGAATTAATTATTTTTGGCTTATAATTACACGTTTTAATTTTCCAAATTTAAGAAAATGATGTTTCTATTAGACAAAATAAGGAAGCTAATGATTTTCAGTTTTTTTTCAAAGAATTAGAAATGCAGAAACTAAGATTAGAATTTTAAATTTTTGCCAGCTATACACTTTCCATTTATTTGTAACTAACAGAATCTTATAGATAAGTATTACTAAAAAAATTTTACATCAAAACAATTAAAATACTATAATTTAGCAAATTATATCTGAATTTCAGATTATTTTTCAAGCTTAATGAATTTTCATTTCTATCAAAATTGCAGTTAGGTGTTTTTATTCTATAAGTTCATTCTTTGTTATCAAAACTTATTAATTTCTTGATATCATGAATTCAATAACTCCGTTAGTTAAACTTGTTCCTCTGACAGCATTCATTTTCATGACAGCGTAAGCAAAGTTTTCATTAATATTTATGATTATAATAGCAACATTAACAGGGAAAGAATTCCCAGCTGATTTCCACTCCAATTTTCTTTGCTTTTTAGTTTATAAAATATACGCCAATCTGAAATATCAATAATAACCTTGTAGCATGATTATTTTTTTCCTATGAATCAGTTCCATAGATGACCAAAATCTCAATAAAAATAATATCTGATTTTCAAATACTGTAATCAAGATCTATCATGTTTAATAAAATTTAACTATTTGATTTTTCCAGAAAATTCAATAGTTATTGATAATAACTCTCATCACAAGTCTCTCGTATTTCTGCCCTAATAATTAAATTTTATAGATCCAATAAATAAACTGTGCTATGGAATTTCATAATTATTTTTAAATAATCAAAATAAATGATAAATTTATATATCAACTATATAGTGGGGATGATAATTAAATAATTCCATCTCCAAGAAATATATTTGAAATTTAAAACTCCAGCATATATCTTTTCAGATTCACATAGGAATACCTAGATTGTCTATAGAATAGATTTTAGCTACCGATGGGCTAACTTGTTTTCAGACTAGACGGCCAAGGTGATAACTTTGTATATAGTTTCTCTGGGAATGATTTTTAGCAATATATGAAAATGAAAGATATCCTAGTAGGTTTTAGAGAGTGTATTATAATCTGTATATTTGATTAAATAGTGTGAACTTAGGATGATAAATGGGATTTGACAAGAACTTCACTAATCTTTCCTATATAATACCTATTTAATAATTTATACAGTTATTCATTCCAGTAATTCAATACAAAAATTTAAACTTGAAAGTAATAAATTGAATATATGAATGTTGAATCATAAATGCTAATATTGGTGATTATCTTTTTCCCTTATACAATTTACATAATTCCAAAACACTAAATCGATTGTATATCTTTCAAAACATGTAGTGTAAGATACTTTTGGTTTTTAGTATAAAATTCAAAATAAAGTAATAGAAATTCAATATTAGTTTTCAAAAAAAGTAAAATGTACCACAAAAAAGATTAAGTTGGAGAGTTGTATCAGATTTTGTCCTTATCCAAAGAGGTTGATGAAGTAGTCCTATCTATCCTCATTTACATATTAAAAAAAGAGAGAATTTAAGACTGCCTAGAATTTCTCTCGTAAGAATAATATCAATTCCTTGTAGAAATGAAAAGATCAAAGGTCGAAAATTTATCTCTGCTTGATAAAGAATAGACTCTCAATGGAGAGAAGAACATTAAGAGAATAAAGGATGTCCTCAAAAAAATTAGGGATCATGAATTTAATAAACAAAATTACTCTACAGATGATTATGAAGAAATTAAAAAGGATCTCATTATAAAAATATCTTGGGATAATAAAATAATAGAATTTCTATAATTTTTGGTTCATCTTACTGCATTAGATGACATATATATTTAGTGTGGATCAAATTCTCTTCATTTGCTGGTGTTAATGAAAGTTGATTTAAAGGAATCATGTTTTGAGAATATAAGAATCAGAAATACTTCAATTTTAGGAGCTAATTTGGTAAGATGTGACTTAAGTGGATCAGTATTGGACAATGTCATAATTAGTGGAGTGAATTTGAATTAAGCCAAATTATTTAATTGTAAGTGGAAGAATTTAGGTATAAATGAAGGAATTTAGTTGAATGGTCATAGTGGTCGTGTCAATTTAGTTTGCTATTCTCCAGATGGTAAATCATTAGCTTCTTGTAGTGATGATCATTCGATTATATTGTGGGATGCGAAAACAGGGAAAATAAAGACAATAATTAGAGGAAAGGGGATGGTAAAATCAGTATTCTTCTCACCTCAAAATACTACTTTAGCTTTTAGCTATGGAATATTTGTGTATGTATGGAGTCTTAAAACAGGAAAATAATTATCTAGATTAAATGGTGAGCTCTCGGTGTGATTATAATTTTTTAATTTTTCAACCACTGAATGTAACATTTGCAATTTCATTATTATCTCCAAATTACAAATAATTCGATTCTTGTCAGAGTTTTTAATGGTATAACACATTTAATATATTCATATGATTCTTAAGTCAAGATATGCATTAAATTGAGTTTTAATGTTTAAGACCCCTCTAGCTAAGTTTCTTATCTTTTAATGTGTTATATGAGAGAGTTTGGCAATGTTGTCTATAATCTCGCTAAATTACTTTATCCCTATTGAATGATTGATCTCACTTCCATTTTCCCTTGATTGAGGATCTAATCCACTAAGGTCTCTTGTTGATCAATCCTTAACATATATACTCAAATAAAAATTAAATAAGTCTCTACCTACTAAATAGGATGCAATTACTTTTTCATATTTAAAGACAATAAATAATTGAGACTTTCTTTATGCCACTTCAAAATCCTTAAAATTAGTTTTCAATTAATTGAAAGACCAGACACCTCTGTAATGCTCCATGTTCATTTATTTGTGAAAACTTGTTCAAATTTAATTTTATCTGTTAATTGAAGCTAAATCTAGGTAATATCTTTTGCTGAATTTTATAGATCCAAAGTGAAATTAAAATATCATCATCTCTTTCGCACTTCTTAAAATTTTGCTGAACCTTTGCCTTATTACTACATACTGTTTTCGCATTCACCATAACATTTCAAAGCTCTAAATCTCATGAGACTTTCCAATTTACGAGTTAAAACATATTCAGTTCACAAATCAATAAAACTTTTCGATTCATAAATCTGATGCTTGAGGATCAATCAAAGGTGTATTCCTTTTCATTTTTATATTTAGAGCTGGCATGCTAAATTTATTTCCTCTGCATCAAAGTTATTAAAATTTTCTAAAGATTTTTGAGTGTGGTGTCTACTATTAGTTTATCGAGAAGAATAGGATTTCAAATTTACATTAATTGTGGCATCCTATGATATACCATATATTATTATTCGTATTTTTCAAACTATTCATCTTTTATCTAACATTAATAATAACATTTAGACATGAATTTTCATATTTGTAGATTTATCTCTTCTCATTTTTTAAATAATTTATAACCTAATACCCTACTCAATCATTGCTTCTCTTGAATTCTAGAATAATTGTGGTCACATATTTGTTGTCAATAATAGGATGTTGGATATTTTATGCATGGCATTTTAATGTAAACTTTTCTTAAATAATGGGAGAACAAGATAAAAAGTTAATACGGAGAAAATGAATAAAGATCCACAAAACTGTTCCATAGAAGAAATAAATATTAGGTATTTAAGAAGAAATCTTATAAAACTCATCACACTTGGCCTCCCAAGCAAAATCTCAAAACAAAACCTTACAAAAAAAATCAAAATAATTTATAGTAACCTATAAGTATTATTAGTATGAAGGTGATTTAATTCAATAAATAAAAACTGTTTTCACCAAAATTTTTAAGGACGTCTAAATCATGAATAATAAAGAGGTAAGACCCACCAAAAATCAATAAGAAAATTGACACCAGAAGATGAAGGTATTTACTGTGAGAAGTGTAGATTAGGCTATATGCAACTGCCTAATCATACAGATCTCACAAACACTTTAAGCATGATGGAAAAACACCACCATCTAAGAATAAATTTCACAAAATTTTACATTTAATGGGAATGAAGCTTATTGCTAAATTGAAATCCCCATTCCACAAGATGAGAATTTGATGAAAGTTTTAATTAAAGTAATTAGTTGGAATGTTGGATCATTAAAACAAAAGCTCATGAGGAAATAAAATCACAAACAGCACATCTTATTTATCTCTAAGAAGTGAGGAATTAGAGCATATAAGAATTTGTTAAATATAAATATTACTACAGCAAGAGGGATACTACAAACTCTGGAGGTATAATTACAGATGTACATAGGAAATTCCAAAGCAGAGATATAACTTCGTTTTACTTCAAAACTGAAGAAACATTAATTTACCCAGGTATACAAATAACCATTTCTTCTGGAATTTAGTAACTGAAATTTTGAATTAATTATCGTTGAATCAATTGTTAATCAAATGTGGTGATTTTAAATGTGAGAATGTTGGAGTCGACTTCACTGATGTGTGCAAAGATATAATCAATTCTTGAAGAGAATAAAAAGAGTATACTATAATCTATAACTGATCACATGTCAATATTGAAAGAAATCAATTGCTCTTCAAATTAAACATGGATAGATTCATTTGATCTTTCTATTTTATCATTGCAATTCTATGTTTATAAGAGCCAATTAGAAAATCAAAAGGGAATGAGTATATGACTATCTCAAAGCAGAAAGCTATAAAATATTGTCAATTAATCTCATAAAACGGGCAAATTTAATCATTCTCTATTATTTACAACAAATAGAAAAAATTGTTATGGAAAAATAATTATTAGCAAAACTTAGGATAAGAATCTAACCAACTAAGTATTAATAAAAATCAAATTACTTTGAATAGTTTAAAAATTACATGTATGATAATAAGACAGAATTCTTTAATCTTTAAAAAAAACTGTAATTCTGTATTAATTACGCAAGAGACAGTGAAATTTTTACTGCTTTATCAATGAAACATAGCAATGTACAGGGAAAGAAATATGTATAAATTGCACTTAGACATTAAATGAATTATCTCATATTTAATAATTTAAATCTGTAGCCAATCCACATTTATCCAGTCTGAGTCAAGAAAAAATAGAGGTGATGCATAGGATAAGGCCATATCTTATGATGGTATTACTCATCAATTTGTTAAACATTGTAATTGGTAAATAATTAGTGATATATAGAATTCAAATTTTTTATGTTAATAAAGAGTTAGGGTGGGTAAGATTATGTCAATTAAATAAATGTCACCTAGAAGTTCCCAGCAGAACTTAATTCAGGCCACTAGTTACAATGAGCCCCTTGGTCAAGGTTTTTGAACTTTACTTTCACAATCAACTACAGGATTACTTTAAAGATAAAATACTCAAGCCTTAAACTGGTTTCATATCAAGATTAGGCACCCAATTAAATATATTCTCAATATAAAGCTGAATTAAACAAACCACTCTCAGCAATAATTAATGCTTGTTATTTATTGACTTCAAAAGTGTTTATAACACTATCGATAGGCATAGATTATATGGTATGCTAAAAGAGTAGCCTGTCCTTCCTGATTTAGAAGTAGACTATTTAGCTGCTATTCACAGCAGAAACATTTCTGTAGATGCTTACATCAAAATTTTCTTTTTTCAATATTTTTCGTATCCTGACCACCATATATACTGAATTATTTATATAATATTATTAATTAATTAATTTGATTTGTAATTATCCTGATTATGATTCAAATTGGTAGATTATACTTAATCAAAAATTCTAACTTTAGGAATTTAAATAAATCTACTATTACTGTTATCTATTTCAAACCACCTTCACTAAGTATTTGGCAGAGGCTTATAGAATAAAATTTTATAGGCTTCTCATTTTTAATAATAATAAATCAAATTCAATAATTTAACTTCTGCTCTTCTGAAATTTAGGTAGGTTCCTATCGTAATTTCACAAAGAATGGATAAATCTTAGGTTGAAGCATTTCTCTCATACAATTATTGTAAACAGATAACTTTTAATCCATAAATTAAGTTCTTCCTCTTTAATTTGTCATTTGAGGATGCCAATATCTAATTTAACTCATTCTGCATATGTATCAATCGATACCTAATAGTTTTTGGGAATATAATACAATTT